ATCTCCTTTTGTTGAGCGGACTCCCCGTTAGCACTTGCATGCTGATGCTTGGCGAACATACACTCTCAACATTTGACTCCGCTAATAATAATAATAATAATAATAATAATGTACCACAACTGGTTACTTTTTAAGGGCGGCAACGTTGAGGAGAAAGATGTCCACGGCTCCGGATGAACCCACCTTTGCCGTTGTTGTGCGCCAGGGCCTTCTCGATGAAATCGGCCCCCTCCTCGAAGAAGGCCCCGAGGTGGAAGTGCTCCGTGTCGTTGGCCTGGATGCCGTGGTACGTGATGCCCGTGCCGGCGTAGAACTCCACGCTGGTGTTGACGTGCATGAAGGAGGTGCCCTCTGCCACGTTGAGGACGTGCGTCACCCCGAGCTTCTGCAGACGCATCGCATTGTGGGCCACGAACCTAGGAAGCAGAGGAAAACAAAGGGGAAATTGATTCGTTTGAATCACTGAGACAAGCCTGCCGCATCGTCACGAGGTACCGACAGCGGGCCTCTGGGTGGCGATACGGAACCTGGTGTTTGTGTTTGCTGACAACACAAAGCGATGAGTGTACAGCGGCAGAACAAGACGTGTCAGACAAACAACACGACCGATAACAACCCCCGACACGTTCAGCTGAGTGTCAGCACTTTTCATTTCAAAGTGATATTTTGAAAATGTGGGTTGCATCTTTTCACGGTCGCTGTGTGTGTGTGTGTGTGTGTGTGTGTTATTGAACGCGGCGCTGGACGAATCACAGCTTGACACACACCGTAGATCTGCTGCTGCTGCTTTGAAACACAAAGTCTCTCCATGGTGTCAAAGACATAAAATACTTATTTGTATTGGTTTTGTTCATAATTTCATTTAGAAAATGTGATTAAAAAGGGATTGTCCTTTTTAAAAGTCCCTGTAGTCGACGCAGGTGTTCTTGTTTATTCAAGTAGGGTCAGATCTCTTAATTACTCTGTCCTGATTCACCTGTTCTTCTCCTGTAAAAGTGGTGAAGGTGTTTGTTCTTCTGCTTTAAAGTTCTCGGACTATTTGGCAAACGTTAGAGATACAGGGAGGTTGCAAAGCTATAATTACTACAACTGATGAACATAATGGACGCAGGAGAAAGAAAGCGACCGATTACGATGCGACTACTGAGAATTTTGTAAAAAACAATTTAAGCTGAACTTAAAGTTGAAAAGAAATTGTAATTAATTTTATTCAGAATTTAATCTAGAAAATGTAATTCAAAAAGTGTCCTTTAGAAGTCCCCGTGGCCTGCAGTGATGAGTTAAACTCCCTCACAGGTGTTCTGATTCATCGAGGTTCACCTGACCTCAGCGTGTGACCTAATCACTCCGATCATGATCACCTGTTCGTTCCCCTACGACAGTGTTTGGTTTTCTTGTAAATTGGAAAGCAAGTGTTTGACAAATAATCCACAACTCCAAAGACATAGTTATATAAATATAAGGAATATTGTGCACCCAAACGTTCTTCCATCCCAACCATTTTCAGGTGCCATACAAAGAACTTGACATCCATCTCATGAGCATCCAGGAAACAACAAATCTGCCGCTTTCCCACTCTGCTGCACATTGTGAGGAAGCAAACAAGCCATTAGGAATACGCTCAGGATTTTTGTGCAGCCTCGGCCCGTTGGCCGGATGCCTGCGTCCACTGCTACAACCTGTCCCGAGGCATTGTCCATTGATTCTGGATAAAAAGCCTCTTTTGTATACGTTGGATTGGATGTTTATGGGACGTTTAGTGCCACCAATTAGCTGTGCTGAATTTACGTTGTTTAACGGCGAAGAAAACCTCCAATATACTGTTGCTCTGCGGAGAACAGAAGAGATGTTTTTCATTCAGAATGCCACTTTCACTGGTGCAAAACAGGAACAGAGAAGAGTTATTACTTTGAAGATGCAAGAAAACCTTTTTCAGTTTTGACATAATGAAATTTTTCCTTTCTGATACAGACTTGAACGTAGCAGCTTAAAACAGGTATTAAACTTAATAAATGCAGTGTAAAAATCTCCTTCAAACCCATATGGTACAAAACATGTCTGATCGGCCCTGATCCATCGTTCTAGGAAGTACTGGAGGCATTTCTGGTGCTGGTATTGGATCAACGCCGGTCCACCTGCTCCTCCATCGTCTAGACTCAGAGTGATCTTGATTCTCCGTCTTCTTGTAACATGCTCGCCCTGACAGCACTGTGTGCTTTTTATACGGAGTCTTCTCACAGTAAATATGAGCTGCTGGGGCGATGCTAGGTGACCCTG